GACTTTTGTCACTGTTTTCCAATTGTTGGACATTTTAGTGTTTTTCCACTTTTCTATTATTTTAAATAAAATGGGACAATGTCTCCTGTTATAGTGTTTCAAAACTTTAAAAAAAAAAAAAAAGTAAGGGACAAGACCTCCCAAGACCTCCTCCCAAGACCACAGAACCGGGACAAACCTGCACACCATAGGGGGGGGGTAGCTTCAGCTTCACCCACAACCGGCGGAGCTGGGAGGCGAGCAGGACGCCCCGCCCAGTCGGTGACACAGGGCAGCCCACCCGCCAAGGAGGACTCTTCTGCAGGAGGAAGGAGACACGCGGAGGCAGGAGGGGAGGGGCACAGCCGAAGAAAGCGCCGGACCCTCCAGGGGGCGACACTGTCCCGCACACGGCACGCGGGTAAGCACACACCCAACAACGCGTCTGCGAACCCGCGTCAGCTCACCCCCAGAGACTGGACCTATTTCTGCAAACAGACGAGACGTTACTTAGGAGCGAGGGACCTTAGAGCAGAGGGCAAATGCGTCGAACTTGCAAAACAACCTGCCCCGGCAGCCGGGGGAAAGGGAGCTGCCGGTGCGCGCTGGTTCCCAGGCGACGGGAGCGCCTGCCCACAGGACGAGCGGGGACACGCTCGGCGGCCGGCCCGGGCCGCGTCCCAGAAGCAACGCTGAGGGCAAGGCTCGGGACAGCGCGAGACAGAGTTCGGCCTGATGTGTCGGTTCCTGACACAGCGGCTACACGCATACGCATGCACACACACACACACACACACACACACACACACACACGGGCTACTCAGCACACAGACCTTATACACACACGCTAATGTACAATGTATGTACAATGTACAGTGGCTGATGTGTCCACACAGGTCCCAACACGCACGTGCACGCACAAGGGCCGATATGGACGCGCAGCTGTGACCTGGCAGCTGTCACCCAGGAGAGCGACACCCCAGAATGACAGCACGGCAGCACCCAAGGCTAGGAGTCTGCCACGCCTCGAATAAAAAGAAGCAGCATTCCGGGGGTTGGGGGGGTAGGAATCTAGCTCTGGGGGCAGGAAAGGCCAAATGAGCCTGAGAGAGGCACAAGCAAGACCCCGCAGAGTGGGACCCGCTAGGGGAGCACGGGCGCCCGTGGGGAGCCCCCGGCAGCCACAGCTGCCCTCCGAGTGACGCGATCCTTATGCTGCAGGGTGCGCCTCTCTGGGAGTCGACTCTGCTGTAGTCACAGGGAGAGTCACAGGGAGAGGACCGACACTCCCCCCGCAGTGCTTGAGAAGCTGGAGCAGAACCCAACTGGGCCGTGGGGCTTCCTTTCTGGAGCGCGGGAGGAAGCGGAGACCCTTCAGAAGCCCAGCAGACACACGTGAGCCAAGCGTTGAGGGGCGCGGGGCCATGCGGCAGACACAGACCATCCCCCCGGGAGCCCCAGGGCCGGGAGAGGCTGGCACGTCGGGTACTAAGGCACAGGCGGCCAAGACTGGCACGAGATGTACCAATCACGTCGCCATTGAAACATGGACCACAGGAACTTATTTTTTGTTCGGTTTTGGGGTTTTCATGGGGGGGCCATGCCCAGCGTGCTCAGAACTTAGCCCTGGCTCTTCACACAAGCATCAGTCCTGGTGGCTCGGAGGACCCCACTGGGTACCAGGGATCGAACCTAGGTCAGCTGCATGCAAGAAGCCTATCCGCTCACCCCCTTTTATTTTTTCGCTTTTTGGGTCACACCCGGCGATGCACAGGGGTTCCTCCTGGCTCTGCACTCAGGAATTACTCCTGGCGGTGCTCAGGGGACCGGATGGGATGCTGGGAATCAAACCCGGGTTGGCTGCGTGCAAGGCAAACGCCCTCCAGCCCTCGCCCCCCTTTTAAATTTGATTTTTTTTTAAATGTGTGATGTCTTGGGGCCGGAGGGATAGTTCAACAGGCAAGACACTTGGCTTGCATGCAGTCAACCCAGGTTCGATCCCCGGCACCTCCCAGGGGCCTGTGAGCCAGCAGGAATGACCCCTGAGTGCTGTGTCAGGGGCAAGCCCCGAGCACTGCCAGACGCAGCCCCCCTGGAGACGTTCAAAAAGACAGCAGGAGCACATAAGTGCCGTGGTGATTAAGTCCACTCTGACGGCAACAGTGACAGACACTTCTGCGGCCCTCCCCCTTCGAATCCATATTCCCGATCGAACAGTGAGAACCACACAGGTGAGACCCACCTGGCACAAGGCACTCGGCACCCCAGGGCCAAACAAACACAGCACAGGGGAACGCGGGCCAAGAAGAGTGAGCGCACTAACAGCTCCACGCTCCGCACGCAGGAGGCTGGGTGCCGCTCCCCACGACCCCGTGGGCCCTGGGGCACTGCCGAGAGAGTGACCCCCGGCAACGAGCCAGGAGTAGCCTGTGAGCACCACTGAGGTGGCCCCAAACACAAGGACCAAGAACCAAGGCACAAAGAGTAATATGTGACTTCCTGGGGTCCCGTCACCCACTGCCTTAGCTGGGAAAGGAAACCTTCGGGGACAGCTGAGCAGGCGACATCAAGTCTGGACATGAATCACACTTATTAACCGTGAAGGGGGGGTGGCGTGGGGAGACACCCCCCAGGACTGTCCCCTGGACACTAGGGGACCGTGGCGCTCAGGTCAACAGGAGGGCCACAGCAAGCAAGGACATTAGGCCCTGCCCTAGCAGGTAGTTTTTTTTTTTTTTAATATCCACTGCAGCACAGGCAGGTAAGTGCATCCTGGCTAGAGCCGCCATCCAGAACCCCAGGACTTGTCTGCCTGGGGCGGAGCACCTCAGCCCTCCTCAGGAGGCCCTTCGGCAGTGGACAGGAGTCTTAGGATTCTTCATCCCCTGGGGGCCAGAGACACAGCACGGAAGGAGGGTGCCTGCCCTGCGCAGACCAGCCTGGGGTCAAGCGCTGGGACCTCGGGTTCCCCAAGCTCCACCAGAGCCAGGAGTGCGCCCTGAGCACCGAGTGTGGCCCCAAGACAAAACAAGCTCTTCATACTCTTCCATCAGCGATTTCGCTTCCTCTAACAACAAAACTCTTCGAAGAGATAACAAATCAGTCGAAAGAAGGCGACTAGCACACCCTAAAGCCAACACGAATACGAGGGCTAAGACATCAAGTATAAAGAAACAGGCGTCAGGGCCGAACTATGGACACTGAGAACATTTTCCTGAACAAGTGCACTTAACTTTGCCTTCAGAGCTGAAGACGTGGGGTGGAGAGACAGGACAGTGGGCAGGGCGCTTGCCTGGCACAGGGCCGACAGGGGCTCGGTCCCCGGCACCCCCATATGGGCCCCCAAAGCTGGCCAGAAGGAATCCCTGAGTGCAGAGCTCTTCAGCATCACTGGGTGGGCCCCAAAAGACCCAAAAATAAGCAAATAAACAAGCAGAATAAATACAGCCGAAGGCTGCAGTGGCCCAAAACGGAGACGGCCTGGGCCCAGTTCACACCCTGGGGCACAAGTGCTGGTCTGTCCCACAGAAGGGCGGCCACCACGTGTCTGCTGGCCGAGACAATGCAGGGGGCCAGGGGCAGAGTCGGCCGGCCAGGGAACCGGGGTCGTCCCTGGTACTGCACGGTCCCCACTGAGTGACCCCGAGATAAAATCACGGGGGCCAGAGAGATCACAGACTGGGTGGGCACGTCCCAGGGCCAACCAGGTTCAATCCCCAGAGGGTCCGCGGAGCATGGAGTGATCCCAGAGCAGAGCCGGGAGCAGGCCCTGGGCACCTTTGGGGGTTCCCCCCTCCAAAAGCAATCCTTAGGGAGAAAGAAATGCAGGTTGTTCTTCTGACACAGGGGGAGGAATTTTGTGGGGGCAAGCAGGGGCGCCCACCCCACCGGCACGTGTGTTTCCCCACAAATCAGTCCCCCAAGGGCCCTGCAGCAGAACCCACTTGCAGGAAGAGCAGAAGCGCCCAGAGGCCCGGGAAGAGGAGGAGCACTCTTTCAGGAGCCCAGCGCTGCTCCTTCAAGTGAGAGCTACTGGGCCCAGACTGGGTTTTTCGTGCTTTTTTTGGGGGGGGTGGAGAACCATATGGGTCAAACTGCGGTCAAACTCCTGGAGGGCGGGGGGCCAGCTGGGGCGCCCGGGGGTCAAACCCGGCCTCCCCCTGCCAGGAGCTCCTTCACCCCTGCACCGCCTTCCCTTCTCAGGGGCTGGTGGCCGCTGGGCCGGGAAGGGACCCTCGGCCGCCTGCCCCCGCGCCGGGTCCGAGCAAAGTCACTGTCTCCCGCGCCCGCAAAGACCCTGCCCCACGCAGCCAAGCCCCTCGCCCACCCACGCCCCCCAGCCGCCCCGGGTCCCGATCCCAGGGCCCCGACGTCGGCGGCAGGCGCGGGGGATACGGGGATGCCCCCATCGGCCCACGGTCTACACCCGCGGGGATCCCACCCCTCGGCCCAGGGTCTACACTGGCGGCCTCCCCGGTCTAGGGTCTACACTCGCGGACCCCCGGCCCAGGGTCTACACTCGCGGGGCGCCCCCAGGCTCGGGGTCTACACTCGCGGACCCCCGGCCCAGGGTCTACACTCGCGGGGCAACCCCAGGCTCGGGGTCTACACTCGCGGATCCCCCGGCCCAGGGTCTACACTCGCGGGGCGCCCCCAGGCTCGGGGTCTACACTCGCGGACCCCCGGCCCAGGGTCTACACTCGCGGGGCAACCCCAGGCTCGGGGTCTACACTCGCGGATCCCCCGGCCCAGGGTCTACACTCGCGGGGCGCCCCCAGGCTCGGCGTCTACACTCGCGGATCCCCCCGGCCCGGGGTCTACACTCGCGGGGCAATCCCAGGCTCGGGGTCTACACTCGCGGATCCCCCGCCCCAGGGTCTACACTCGCGGGGCAACCCCAGGCTCGGCGTCTACACTCGCGGATCCCCCCGGCCCGGGGTCTACACTCGCGGGACGATCCCCCGGCCCAGGGTCTACACTCGCGTTCCCTGGCCGGGGTCTACACTCGCGGCCCCACTCACCCCGCCGCGGGCCGCGCACGGCCGCCCTCCGGGCCTCGGGCCGTGGCATCCCCGTGCGCGGGTCCGAGCCGCCTCCCCGCAGCGCGCCGGCCGGGAGGAAACGCCGCAGCGCGCGCCGGCGCCCGCGGGCTCGGCCCCACCGCGCGTGCGCGCGCCCGCCGGCCCCGCCCCGTCACGTGGCGCGCCGGCCCTGCCCCGTCTCCGTCACGTGGCGCGCCGGCCCCCCCTCGCCCTGGGCCCGTCACGTGGCGCATCCGGCCCCGCCCCCAGCCCCGTCACGTGGCGCTCTGGCCCCGCCCACCCCGTCACGTGGTGCTTCCGCCGCGGTGACGTCGCTCTGCGCTGCGGGCGCGGCGGCGCTGGTGGGGCTCGCGCGCCCTCGGGGGTGCCCGGCGGGGCTCGGGCGCGGGGCGGGGGCGGGGGCGGGGCCGTGACCGCGCGGCCTCCCGGAAGGCCCGCCCCCCGCGCGTCCACGCGAGGGGTCCCGGGAGACTCGCCCGCCGGCCTGACGCCCGCGGGTGGACGCTGGAGCCGCGCCTTCTGCTGGGCCCGTGCCCGCGGCGCCCCGCCCGGCCCTTGTCCATCCCCTGGGGCGCCCTTGGCCCGGTCCGGGTGGTCCGGCGAGCACCGCTGCTTGCTCGCCTCGGCACCCGTGCGGCGGGTGTGCGGCCCACCCGGGACGGAACCGGCACCGCGGGCCCCGCGACGCGCCCGGCTTTCCCACGCGTTGCCAGAACGTTTCCAAAGTGGGTCCGAGCAGCAGTGACGCGCCTCCCTGCCGTGTCTTGAGAACGCTCTTGTTGTCGACGCTTGGTCCCACCAGGCTTTTCTTTCGTAGGAGCCACAGCCCCCAGGGAGTGGGGGACCAGACTGGGGGGGGGGGGGCGGGCAGAGACCCCCGAGCCTTGACCAGGCCCGTGCAAGGCCCGTCTCTGCCACCCGAGCCCCAGCGCCAGGCCTGTTTCCGTTTTGCCTAGCTAGGTGGCCACGGAAGTAGCTCGGTGGTCTAGCTCATGTTATTCTGATTATTCAGGAAATTACATATTATAATTTGGGAGGGTTTGGCCACACCTGGGGCTACTGCGGGCTCTCTCAGAGGGGTTTGGGGGTGATTGAATCCCGGGGCCAAGTCCATCTCCGCAGTCCCAGCATGATGTTTGAGTATGAATATCGACCCAGACGGACACCATGAGAGTCCCCTGCATTTTCTATCCGTGTGTCGGAGATGACGTTCCAGGGGGTCACTGTCCACACCTCGTGCCCCTTTTTGAGCACCTGGCAAGGGGCTTAAGCCCTGAAGGGGTGTGGCTTTGACGGGAGGGCTGGGCTGCAGAGGGCTAGCGGTGGGCATCCTCTGGGAAGGTGATGGGGGATGAGAATCCCAAGAGTGGCAGGGAGGGGGGCCCTTTCCTGGGGGCGTGGGGGCTCCATCTAGGGAGAAGCCACCTTGCACGCACCGGTGGGTTCTACCCCGAGTTTTCTGAGAAATGAAACAGAAGATGTTAAGTGTGCAGCTTCACTAGCCCCTGACGGTTGGACTTTGGGGCTCACGGCGGGGCCGGGCACATGATTAGAAGAGTTCTGCCAGCTTAGTGAAAGCAGTGGAAAACGCCACTGCCGTCTTCTGGAGCTTCCGTGGAGGCGAGTCGCAGCCCCCTGTCACCTCCCCCGCCCCCGCCACCCCAGAGGCACCGTGTCCTACGGCTACACAGCAGCCCTGTGAAGCTGCGGGTGCTCCGATGGTTTTGATCAGAACCGGCCCCTGAGTTTTGCTTCCCTGATGTTCCCTGCAGGGGGGAGTCGGGGGAGAGGGGAGGGTGTGGCCACTGCCCATCTGTATCCAGACGTGAGTGCAGAAGACAAAAACCGTGTCATTTTTCGCCAACAACCACAGCTGACAGTGGTTGCTTCCTTTAATCCTCTCAGAGCAGACCTGCCGTGTAAGCGTCTCCGTGCTGATCCCGTGCGGATTTGGGGGAGCTTGGTCGAAACACTGGCTCCCCGGCACCGAGCTGCAACTGGCAGAGAGCAGGACTCACGGGCAGGAAAGCGGGTGCCTGAGCTCTCCAGACTGCGTCGCTTTGCGCAACCAGCTTGAATCTCGGGGTGGTGAAGAGCCTCGAGCGCTCTCTTAAAATAGTTCCAGCATTCTGAGAGTAACACTTCTGAGAAGGAAGAAATGCTGAGCGCAGCTACGCACTTATTCTTGTCTGTACTTAAAAACACTTTGTAACACTTACTTTTAGTACCCAAGGGTAAAAATCACTGCTTCTTGACCTCACACCCTTAGAATTAACCTACGCTCGGACATTAATACACACGGCCCTGAGATGAATTGCTAGGGGCAGGGAGAGCCTCCAAAAGGCTGGGGGGGGGGGCGGCATGTTTTACAGACTCTGAGGCAGGAATCAGCCCACCCCCGCCTCCGTTTCTGCACCCCTATGGTCAGCCCAGCACTGCAGCACGGCTCCTAAGAGGGACAGGTTGCCAGTAGCCCCAGTCATAGTGACGGAGTAGTGGTGGCAGTGACCAGAGCAGATACAGAGTGACAGCGTCCTTCCAGGGGGCAAGAAGCAATGCTCAGAAGTACAGATTCCGTCAGGATGGCTCTGCCAGTCTCTGGGCTGTGTTGGCAGACCAGTTACTGAAGTTACTCGCCTGTCGGTGCCTCAGTTTCCCCAGCTGTAACAGGAGAACAGTAGCAACACACACACACACACACACACACACACACACACACACACACACACCCCAGAGACGGAGGCGAGCAGCTGCTCTTGTGAAGCGGGGGCAGGGAGGTGTGACTTGGCACTTCATTCCATCACAGCTGGCTCACTTCCGCTTTCTTCTTATCCTGAGTCTGCTCTTGGCCCTGGAAAGACCCAGAAAAGGGTGACTAGGGGTGTGTCTGGACCATCGAAGTCTCCAAGATCCAACATCCGGAATCAGCAACTCGGCACCTGGAAGGCCCTGGGTTCAATACTTGGCTCCAGAAGAGGGAAAAACAAAAAGAAGCAAAACAACAGATTGTCGCTGCACGTGTCTGGGCGCTGTGCCGAGACTCCTGTGCCCGTGGCCGCGGTCACCACACACCCCCCTTTGGAGCTGCCCATCAGCACCCAGGAAATGGGGTCTCCCGCTCCAAGTCCGAGAAAAACTAACAAACTACGGCTGGCGTGGGGAGACACACACAGAGACCAGCTCCGCTCTGCCGGGGGCCCAGGACCAGGCTGAGGCCGGTCAGAACCATGCTGAGACTGGGTGGCACCCCCCAACTGATGAACCCCGCTTTCCCCGAGCAAGAGAAAAACAGCCCCACGTGTGTATTCAAAAAATAAAATCTGGGGGCTGGAGCAATAGTACAGGGGGGAGAGCGTTTGCCCTGCACGCGGGCCGACCCAGGTTCGATTCCCAGCATCCCATAGGGTCCCCCGAGCACCGTCAGGAGTAATTCCTGAGTGCAGAGCCAGGAGGAACCCCTGAGCATCGCCGGTGGGACCCAAAAATAATAAATAAATAAATAAATAAATAAATTTCGAATGGCCGCGATGGATATCTCTCCCTCAGCCTGCGTTCAGTGGTCTCGGGCCGCTTCCCCCACCCCAGGGGGCCGATGGCGATGGGGGGGATGAAGGAGGGAATGAGGCCCGGGTTGGTTGGTCCCAATTGCAGTTAATTCCAAGCTCCTCTCCATTCTCTCCTGACTCTCCCTCTTGGTTCTCCTGACTCTCCCCCTGATCTTCCCCTTCCCCAACCCCCTCATCCTCCTCTTGGATCGTGCCCCTTCATCCTTCTCCTTCCTGCTTCTGCCGCCCCCAGCCCACTCTTACAGCCTCAGTATATCCCAAAGCACCGGGGGGTTGGAGTAATAATTACACGCAGGTGTGGTCATACAGTCAACAGAGGTAACTAAAGTCCTTCCCTCGGGGGAGGCTTCTTCTAGGACAAACTCTCATTCACTAAGACGACCCACCCAAGAGTGAAATTCCATCTGTGAGTTTCTCCTCTGCTTGTCCAACAAACATATAAGCGTTCCTAATATTAGCCATTTCCTATGGACACGGTAAGAGACACATTAAGCTCTCCTGGGGCCATCTGGCTATAGATCTCAGACTACAGTGCTCAGGCCAGATTAGTCTTTCCTATCCCTAGCAGGGTCCTAATCTCATCGTTGCTTTTTGGATCATGACAGCGTTTATCCATGACCAAACTCTCAACTTATAGTTGAGTATCGTGGCGCTTTGGCCTGGCCCATATCAATGCCAGGGTAACTCACAGCTTGCCCTGGGTCCATCCAGTCCCTCGTTGGGATGTTGCTTTTGGGGTGCTAGGAACTAAGGGCAACTTAGTCGAGAAAGCAGATGCCCAGGAGTGAATATTATTTGGAGTCCACTAACTCCCACGTTACAAAAACATAGCATTAACAGTCTTCCTGTGTCTATACTAAAAGGACATTGCTTTGAACCTGGCAAAAGACCTAAGGAGAGGAGAAAAGCAGTATTTCACTCATGAATACAAGTCAAGTGTCCTTAGAAGCATCTGACCTTACAAGTTAACAGAATCTGATTAGGAGAAAAGGGCGATTAACTGGTTGGGGTGGAGAGCACAGGGAAGAGTTACAGAGAGGAATGGGAGTGACTCAGGAGCACTGTGATGGGTGTAACCCGATAAACCTAAGCTCCCTGTGGCAAGGAAGAAAGGACAAACCAATGTTATCCTACACCCAGGCACCAAACTTCCAAGCCTGGGAGGTCCAAAGCAAAGCCACGGTGCAGGGGATCTGGCTGGCCAAGGCTGCGTGCCAGGCAAGGCCCTGACCACTGAGCCATCTCTCTTCTCCTGAAACCACTTCGCATGGAGCGCTGCGGTCTCTGAGCCCCGGCCCGGCAGGGAGCAGGCGCTGCACATGTGTCACTGCAGTGAATGGACCAGGAGACATCTTCTGGATGGCCCACAAGGTTGCCCTTCCCATGCCATCAATCCCGAAGAGTGGAGAGCTCATTGGAGAGGCCCCAGCCGGCCATGGCAGCACTGGCGGGTGTTGCCATGCAG